AATTTTCATTTAAAATTTATATTTTAAAAGTCAATAAATCAAACTAAGTATATGACAAAAGGAGTACATTTTTAAGAAAATAAAAGATTGAAAAATTAAAAAAACAAAAAGTCATATGACTACAACATAAACGCATCATAACACATTATACAACATTAAATAAATGAAGCTTAAATTTTCCTCCCTTTATTCTTATTCCCCAATCATTGACCGACTATTAAAGTAGAAAATAAAAATCTCTATGGGTGTGTTTGTTTCTTAAATAGCTAAATTAGGTGTTTGAAAATATTATTTTATAAATTAATTTTAATATTAATTACTTTATTTTTTTGACGAGGAAATTTTTTTTTCAAAATATTAGTAAAACTTAAAACTTTGGTCAATTAATTTAAATATTTTAAAATTTGAAATAAACCATTCACATCGAAAAATTCAATTCAATATTAGTTATTTTATTAATTACCAACCACCTCAAATGACTTGACTACGCTAGTCAAAAACAGAACCATCATTGTTTTTGGTAAAAAAAAAAAAAAAGACAAGAATCTCACGTTTTTTTCACAGGGTCACCCAACTCTTTTTTTATTTATTTTTTCTTATTATTTTTTTTAAATAAATTCATAAAAAGTCAAATATAAATTATTATCTTGATAAAAAATAAAAAAAATACACTTATACATGACCTAACGTCACTGGACCAAAGGCCAATTGCATTCTTCCTTTTGGAAAGCATACAAGAAAAGAAAGATATTTTAGTTAAGGTATACAAGGCTACTCCAACCTCGCAAAACATCCAAGAAAACATTCAATAAAAAGAGAATTACATCACAAATCCTTAATTATGCATTCCTTAGGGTTCATCAACGAATCTGTAAAGGAGAACCTCTCTTCCAACTTTCTTTTTCTTTTTTGGCCATTTCTGCACTTTTTGGCCTGCAAACGGGATGATGATTCGGACGAACATATTCTAATTGAGATTAACTTACACACAACTATTAATGCCCTACTAGATTTATTTAATTTTTATTTTTAAAAAATTAACTTTTTTTTTATCTAAAAAATGGTGAACCTCAACCTTCTATAGTGAAAAATGAATTGTGCATATGGTTGTGTAAGTAAAGGAAAATAAAAGTCTTGACTTTTGAATTTATAAGATTCAGTTCACTTTTGCCGATTTTGATTCCAGAGTTAAAATAGAAAAATTTTTTTTTTCAGGAAAAGGATTCAATTTTTCAATAAGAATACTGGCAAATGTTTCTAGCCGAGTGGGTTTTTAACTTTTTATTGAGTTATATCCTATTTAATTTGAGCTAACACCTTTACCCAAAAACTCAGTCCACCGTGAGTGAGTTGGATTAAATCTTTGATTCCAATCTAATTTAGCCGAACTCTGACACTAAAAAGAGGCAATAAGATTACAGCATATTTAAGTTGATAGAGATTTGCCCAGCCCAATCTAACCCAACTCCATCCCAACCCAATAATGTTGATTGAGGGTGAGGGCACAGGAAGATAAATAGTGTGCGAAGAAGAAGAAAATGTTTTACCAATTTAGCGTCAGCAATTGTCCAATTGCAATTGAAAGACTTACGGCAAGATGAAGAAAGAGTCTGAGAGAGATGGGAGAGCAATTGCTTGCAATAGAGGGCAGAGAGAGAGAGAGAGTCTCACAATCCAAATCCAAATCCAACCTCCACACAGCACCTCCTCGCTTGGGAGCCGATCGAGAACGGAAATGAACTTATTTTTGCTTTGTGGTGGGCTCATTCTCTCCGAGCTCCTCAGGCCCATGTGTACAAAAAAACCAGTATTTTAGATACCCAATTCAAGACTTTAGGTTAAATCCTCAATTTGATCCCTCAACTATTATATGTATCTTTAATTTGATCCCTAAATTAGAAAAATCATTGATTTGGTCTTTACTATTGACTAATTTGGTCCCAACTTAGTCATTCTATATAAAAACAAATAACATATCTCATTATTAATATAACACGTAACAATTAAGTAATAGTTTTCTATCATTAAGTAACACACACGTCAGTTATTTTTTAACAGAATAATCAACTTTAAATCAAATTAATAAACAGTAGAATCAAATCAAAAGTTCATATAATAATTGAGGGACTAAATTGAAAATTTAACCTAAGACTAACAATAACAATTGCCTTTTACTTATGCCATATAATATATATATATATATATATATATATAATGGAATATGGTATGGATGAATAGACTTGACCATAAAATGTCGTGTAATGTAACTATCATTCTTTGGGTATGGTGGTGTATGGATGGGTTGCGTTCACATTAATGTCAAAGTAAAAGTAAGAAAATTTAAAGACTGTAAAATGGGTTGGTACGTCCACGGAAGAAAAA